GGATCAGATAACAAGCAAAAAAAATTTTACTAACCTTTTCCAGAGGTTTTAGATAATGCATTGTGACTGCTCGATGCCTGCATTTCTGCAGGTAAATAACTTGCGGCCTCCCAGTCATAGAATGAAGTTATTTGCTTGTTGCCATTGATGATACAGTAGTAAACTGGAAAGCAGGCAGGCAGCTGAAAAAAGGAAATCTGTTACTGCATGAAGTAACTAAAAACTCCTTGAATCTTGAAGTGTTTCTAGATTCTGCCTTTTAGCTGGGAGGTAACATATACTGCTAGTTTGATGAACTTTAATAAATAAATAAATAAATAAATAAAGCATTGATGATCAATATTTACATTGACACACACACAAAAAAAAAAAAAAACAAAAAAACAAAAAAAAAAAAAAACAACCACGGTATTTTATAGTAGGCCTGAAATGGGGCTTAGGTGAGAGCTAAATTGGCTTTGATTGTGACTAATGAATTCCAGCTTGGAATGCTGATTATACTACTTGAAATGCACAGTAACAGTACCATAATTCCTGTTCAGAACATTGATAGCCTATTCTGATAATCTATTCCTGAATCTTATACCATTTTTCAAATGAAGCTCCATTAAGCAAAACTGGTTTAACATTTCAAAGTTATCCAAGCTTTGTTTATCACGGAAGAGATTCGTAGAGCACCAACAACCGAGAGCAGTCCCTGCAGGAAGTGCACGCGGTAAGTAAGGCAGGCAGCCACGAGGTGGTGCTGGTGGCTCACGGCTCCCGGGCAACGAGCGGGGAGCTCTGAAGAAGTTGCAAAAGCAAAGCGGCTGGAGAACGCTGCGCTACGGTAACCATCGCGGCGGTACAAATGCTTGAGAGGCCACGGCTGTTGTCGATCAGTACGTCCATTACAGCACGAGCTACAAAAAGCAGCAATTTCAAAAATGCTATGGGGCAGTTGGTAATGCTAATGATAATATTTGTATATTCTCATGTCACAAAATGTAACTTTCGATGCTTATTTCATACTTTTACTGAATTGCTCGTTAAATGTAGTACTGAAATACTACATTAAGTATCAATGCAACAATTTAAACAAAAACTAATGTCACATACCTAATTCATAATGTGTGTAAAAATTAATTTTAAAAAGGTTCAGGACCAGTGTTCAATTACATGTTTAACATAATGGTTACTTAAACTGATATTAAAGTACGGGTGATTTCTCTTGGTGCAGCTCAAAACAAAAGGGATGAAATTAGAGCTGCAGAACACTTTTTTGTTCTGTTAAACTGTGATTTGATGAGGATTTTGATATAGTTGTTATGAGAGTGACAGAAACTTTGGGCTACCAGCTATAAATTGTGAGCTACCAGCTGGCAATTTTGTCATTCACTATTTTGTAATTGTCGCTTTAATTGTAGGTGTTTGGAAGAAACATGCAATTTGACTTGAAGTTTTAAAGTGAGGATGAAAAGTAGGAAAAGGCAACATGGCATACAAGATGCTAGTCTACTTATAGTGTGACTTTCACTACAGTTCAGTTCTGAACTTCTTCACCTATCTCCACTAGAGTCTGTACACCTCCATAACTGGATCCCTACCTATTACATGTATCTAGGAATTTCATTCTGAGTCTCCCAGACCGTTGAATAAAAAGCATACAGTGTGACAAATCGGAGTAAAAGTAATGGAAAATGCCAGCTTTTATACAGGAGTATCTTGTATTTAAAACAGACTCTAGATAGACTATTTATTTATGTTCCCCAAGTAATCATGCAAAGCCTCTGAAGGCTAGTTAACATGAAATTAGCACGAAAACTGCAAGAGATGTCTTTGTTTAGCTAACATGTCTGAAACAGTGAGACCAAATGATTTGGATGAGGTCAGCCACTAATAGCCTAGAGTGGATTAGAAACAGCATGTTACTGGCCCTCAATCTGTTACTGTAATTACTGAACTACGTGATTTCTTTGCAACAGAACTGCAGCACCACTGTACTTGGAATTCAGAGTAAAACCCAGAGACTGTGAATTCTATATACTTAAAGGTGAAAGTGCCTCATCTCAAAAAGAAAAAAGAAAAGCAGAACAGTCCAGTAATAGATATCAACTTGAAAACACGGGATTAAAATTCCTCTTTTAGATGTTGCACCAGCAAGTGTAACATGTCTGCGGATTGTACAGAATGTAGGGCTCTGAAATGAGGAGTAGGAATGTCAACAAACAAAAAAGCAATCCTCATGCTTACGTTGCTTAACCTCCTCAAAATGAATTAAGCAGCTAGTAATCAGATTCTCAGTAGGCTGCTATTACTCACTTGTTTCCTATAGCATTCAGGATCTTGAGCATAGAAGCAAAACCGTTATCAGCTCAAATTATAGTGTTCAGATTCACTAAGCAATTAACAGGTAAAGATTAAGGCATATTTAATCTGATTTGTTTTATAAAGGCATAAAATCTCCTCTTTGTAATTACTTCATTATTTGACACAGAATACTTACCTGCTTCCATAGATAAGACTTAGAAGGTATGCATTTACATTTTATACATTCAGTAGTGTACAGTTTAAAGTCATAACGAAGTGGGACAAAAGCGTTGGTCTCTATCAAACTACATGCACTACAAAAGATAAACTCTCTGACCTTGTCTTTCTATGCTCTTCTACAACCACTTACAAGTAAAATCTAGTTTCCTACAAGCTAAGTATTCCCACATTTCAAGGAATCTTTGTATGTAGCCAAGCTCTAAATACTGTTATTATGCAGCTATTGGATCTTTTATAATGCTGGTGAAAAATATTCCGGCATTATGATAAAAACTTTGTGCCATTTGACAAATCTGTATTACAAGAAGCTTTTAGCAACTAACTGGTGCAAGTGTTTTATATTCATAACTAATAGATGTGATTTGTAAAACAGAATCAAGCAGTATCCTAGTTGGTGCTAATTCAATATGGAAAAGAGAAGTTCTGATAATAATTGAATGTTTTAAATGATTTTTCATATAGGGTCCGTGTCTGTTTTAAATATCAGCTGCTAAACATGGCTGTGGGACTGAACTGAGGGAGAAGCAGCATCTGTTTCAGTTGTTTGGTAATTTAGCACTTAATGTTGGATAATTGATCTGATGAAGTAATCATATTGATATGTAGCATTTACAATGCATTCTACATTTTTCAAAGCTGCACTCAAATAACTGCCAGGAGAACTATATAGAGTTGTTAATTCAGCCACTGCTATCCTTGTTTTAAAACAAGGGGGCTGAGCCGTAGGTATTTGGAGTGGCTAATCACACAACCAATGCAGCAGAATCAGGATTAGACCAGAGGAATCTCTTGCTTCCTGACCCCGCTCTAATCAAGTTGGCATTCTTGCCTGTCTAGACCATTCTGTTTTTAACTATTAATCCCATTTCTATTGACAGAAGCTAGACCCACATGCTTTGATTAAACAGTAAAAGTATATATAGTAATATATGGTTCTGACTGTTTCCTTTTCATTGCCATCTTCTGTAGAGTTCTGTACCGTATGCTTATTTTCCAAGCCCCAGTTATCATAAGACGTCTATTTTTGTCTTGGTTCCTGCAAATAGGATTGTTACCCATGCACTTACTTACAGCCTGTTGCTTGAATTTAGCTTTGTGTTACATGAGTAGATCTCTCTCTAAAGGCAGAATTTGCTTCAGTGTGTTCCTATGTGGTGGCTTTTCTTGTGCATGTTACGTTAGATATGAGAACACATCGTCCATACACACTGGTGTCATTAGAGAGGGTGCATGCATATATAAATTTATCATTTAACCACTGCTTTTAAAAATGAACGTTCCTCAGGCTTCCTTTTAGAGCAAACAAAAGGGCTCCAATGCCCATGTTTTACTGTTGCTGCTTGGACTCCACCAACAGAAATGCACAATGGAACAGTCCAGCTGATGAGTTTTGCTCTTTTGTGGATGTTATTCACAACTATGAATTCTGGGCAACCTACTGCTATGAAATTCCTGTCTGGCCTCCCTGTCTGGTGGAGCAAAGGAAGATGAGCAGATCCCAATACGTGCTAGGGAGAAAGGAGCAAGCAGGACCAGTGTAGTTAATGCCTGTGCTGTAAGCTCTGCCATTTGCTGCTGAGACTTCAGAGGAATTTTGAGGATAAGTTCCACTGAGGGGAAAGCACAGTTTGGTTAATTAGAAGGCTGTAACGTTTCCTCGGGACAGCAGTCTCCGCTGAAGAATGGATCTTTTTAACGAGGCACAAAGGAGATACTTCATGTGCTCTGCTGTCAAGACCGAGAACTCTCCTCTAAAATACTGCAGGGTAGAGCAGATTGCTCCTCCGCTTCGCAGCACTCCTAGATGATTTGCAATGGTTTCTGTATCTCACAATTTACTCTGTGCTCTTTAAACGACGCACTGCCACGTAGGGCTTTGCAGCTGAACGCAGTCCTCAAGGATGCCGTACACCAGCTACGCACCGCTAAACACAAGCTAGGGCTGATTAACTTCTCAAAACCTCCCACTCCGTCTGCGCAGACACCATGCGCTCCCTCACAGACTCTTTCGCGCCCACGCTACCCATAACGGTCGCCACGGGCACGCGCCCGCTGAGGCGCACGCGCAGTTCCCCCTAGCGGGCAGGCGGCAGCGCGCACGCGCGCTCTCTGCAGAGCACGGCTGGCGGGGGCGGCTCTCGCGATACTTGAGGCGGGGCGACGGAGGCGAGTTTGAACGGTGGCAACGGTGGCAACGGTGGCAGCGCGGGGCTGAGGTAGCCGGAGGGGAGCGGAGCGGCAGGGCGCGGGGCTGTCTTTTACGCGAGGGTTTTGCTGTCTGTTATTACTCCTTCTGCGTTCTCCAGCGGCCCTGGGGATGCTGAGCGAACGGGGCTGCGCGCTGCCTGTATCGTTAACGTGACGTAACGGCCTGCTTTAGAGAGCTGAGACAGCGCTGAGGTGGGCCGGTTGCTGAGGTGACGTGCTGGTGGACCGGGTGCTGAAAGGTCAGATTGCAGCCTGACCCGTCTTTTGTCTTTGTAATACTTGTCCGCCCAGCAGTGCGTATGGCAGAAGCCAGCACAGCCCTGCAAATCGCTTGGTGGATGATGAAGTAGAGTTGTTCGAGTAACCAAAGCAGTCTGTAAGGGGAAGGTCTGGCCTCAAAGACAGGAATTGCCTTGGATCTTACAGCTGTGGTCTGACACCCATCAGTACTTCTGGTTGGGTCTGTGCTTAGGTGGCTGCTGTGTGTGAGCCCTGGGGTTGACAGTGAAAATAGAAGGAAGATAAAGAAGGGAAAAGAAAGTTTAAGTGCCAGGAAAGTGCCTTTTTGTCTCTCACCTGTTATTTGTTGTAAGGAGTGGTAAATGGCTGAATAACGGGTGTCTGGACACTTCCACACTGAATCTGTTATAAACTGTAGCCAAAAGTAAGTGACTCCTGTAAGGGTGTAAATGTAGACTGACTTCTGTTGTTCCTTCTTGCCCGCCCACTTCGTTAGCTATTGATTTAACTTGAAAAACTTTTCAGATCAATTCCCTTAACCTCGTGTAGAACATGAAGTAGCGATCTATTCCCCATACCACACTAGCCTTATGAACAACACTTCCTGGTCCAATTGAGTTCATCCCAAATAAGGCAGAGAAAAGTTGAGGTTCCCTGTTATCCCGAAGACATACTTCTTCCTTGTACTCAGCAAGAAATTTGTGAATAGGGAACCAATGGGGTCTTTTTAAGCTTCAGTTAGAACATTTTTTAATTTCATTACATCCTTCTGGTGTTATTCAGTAAATGATCTGTTGACAACCAAAAGAAATTGTCTTTGAAACTGCAGGAAACATCAGAGGAGAGACTGAAGAAATGGATGGTAGCAAGGCACATTCACGCGTGGTCCCTAGAAATGCCATTGGTGCTGGAAAAAGGCAGCCCTGGGTGTAGCCCTGCTTCCCAACTTGGGAAGACAATTGCAGTGCGTCTTTCCTTCGGCAGCAGTGCCAGATTTAGCTGTTCCTCTACTACCTGACAGCTGTCTCAACAGAGGTTTGAGTAAGATTTGCCTTTCTGTGCGGTTTTAGCAGGTGATCTCATTTCCGTGAGACAGCCGCGGTCATTGAGCTCTTAAGACAGGGACTGCTGTGAAGGTATCAGCAATGTGTACTTTATCTGGACTGGACAGCTGTGTTTGTTGTTTGTTCCGCAGGGCATGAAGGTTAAGTGAAGCTTAAATGGACTTTTGAAGGTGAGTTAAAAATATTACTGAAATTTAATGTAAGCCAGGGGCAATTAAATTATCTCTAATCTTCACATGTTTCTGTTGGAGCAAACAAGTTATTTTATTTTTTTTAATTTCTTTTTATTATGTAAGAGTTAATTAACGCCTTTTGGTGCAAATGCCTGCAGGGAGTTTTGTCTAGTTTTACTTATGCTACCTTCTTGCCTTTAACAAGAATTAGTTAAAGATTAAATTCCAGGCAGTGTGTGTCTGTGTAGTACTTACAGTGTTCTATAGAGTGTTACAGGTTCTCCTTACATATTATGTGTATGTCAAATCTGTATGGTTTAAGATTTATTTCAGGTTAAGGGTGTAGAACTGCTGTTTCAAGTACTGGAATAAGTAGACATGAAAAAATAGTTTCTAAGTTTAACATAAAGAACAAATTAGGGAAAATTAATACTGATTTCCATCTTGTCCCTGTTGAAAGGAACTCACAGGGTTCTAATGCAAAGGTTTTCTGTCTGTTAAAATGGTATCTTATAAAGGAAACTGAGGAGCTTTAGTGGGATTATTGTTGGTACAGATTGCAAAGAACGAAGATGTTACCCTGAAAACTTACTTATAGTCTTTGCTGTATTCACAAGTGAAATTTGCTCTACATTAAGACCAGCATCTTGTGCATAGGATATCTTTGTGAATGTCAGCCAGTAGGAATGAAGGACCATATGATTTTTTTTGAAGTGATATAAAAATTAAGATCATTGTTTCTGCAAAATTGACTGCAGTTTTTGTGTTATTGTTACTGTGTGCTTTCTGAGAAAATGCTAGCTTACATGGTTCAGAAGCTTGGGTTTACTTAGAGATCTGTGTTTTAATGGGATTGTTTTGTACTGCATGGATTTAGAAGGCTTAGGAGTAAGCAGTCGTGCAAGCAATTGGTGCAAGTGTGAAATGAACTTTGCTTTTTAAATATTTTGCTTGAATCCGTGTTTTTCTTTCTGAAAAATCGTCCTTATCTCTTATGTTTTGATATGAAGATGAAAAATTAATGAATTTTCTAAAACTTGTGACAGACAGATGGTTAGTAAAAGTAGGCTACCTGAACTAACTTCAGTTTAAAGCTAATAACACTCATGACAAACAAAAGTAAGCACTTAAATAAAAATCTCTGTGTTAAAATTCATACATTCTAATCTGGACTTTACTTTTTACTTTCCTTCAACTGCCTCTGCCCATTTCCATGTCCTACTTGGTGTCATTAGGAGTAGAACGTTTGTGAATACAACTGTCTGCATGTCTTAAGTGTTATTGCGTGCACATGGTTTTATTTATGATAATGTGGAAGACATCACTCACATGAATAATTGTTTTTAGCCTTCTCTGTCAAGGTAGCTATGTGTTGGGTATCTGATTCTGCTGCAGTTGCTGTGTTGTCAGGAACTGCCCTAGGGTATGCAGGACTTGTTCCAGCATATGCTGTTCCTGCTCTGCAGTCACGACCAAGCTGACAAACTAATCATGTTATTATTCACAGGACTGCTTGTTAGAAAGCTGGCCGCTTTTTGTCTTGTGCTGATGCAAACATGCACCTCTGTATTGTAATAAAGCATGGAAATACAGTAACTTTGTTCAGCTGAACTGCTGTAGCAGGTTGCTATTGTAATTTTTTTTTCTTTTCAAATTGAGGTAATAAAAGGAAGAAAAAATGGAGACAGAGACCATTTTAAATCTTAGACAACAACTGAAAGAAGCAGAGAACGAGCGAAGGAAGGCTGCACAATATGGCTTACACTTGTTGGAGTCTCAAAATGAAATTCAGAATCAGTTGGATCAAATACGTCGGGAATTAACGGAGAAGACTGAGGTAAAGGTTTTAAGTAAAAGACTAAGAAGTTACTTCTATTTTCTGAAAGTCACAAGTGTTTTAAATGCCTTCTAGAATTTCTAGATGGACCTTAATTAAACTCCTTATTTTAAGTATCGGGGGGGTTTTTGATCATCGCTTTAAGATACTGAGCACAATTTTATCCAGCTGGGCATGGTTTCAGAGCTCATTCTGCATCAAGTGCTCAGTACCACATAGGATTAATTACCTCTTATTAAAAATGAATAGTAGTTGCTGAAGTGTGTGTTGGGTCTGTTTAACAATTTATGATATGCTTGCCTTGTGATCTTTGTGTTGCTTAAAGCTGTACAGAAGGCTTTGGACCACCACGGTGGTGAAGTTGGTTTCATTTGCTGTACACGCTTCAAATTTTCTACATACTGGAGGACTCTGAATTTTAGTACATTTCTTTATAGCTTAGAAGTAGCTAAGTGTTAAAATATAGCAATGTTAATTAGTCTTCCAGTCTTTTAGGTAATTGTGAGAGAAAATTGAAGTGTAAGGAATCTTCTTCTGCTTTGTTAAACTGTTTAATTTTGGCTTGTTTATTCTCAGCCTAGACTTCAAATCTTCTGTTTGTCTTTATTTGCTCCTAGCTGTGCATTGCTGTCTCTTCCGTTGTGCTGGAGCTAAAATGTGTATTTTTCTCCTGGCCAACTGTTGTGTTGTAGCACCCTGCTGTTCTGGAGGAGCACTAATAACTTATTTTGATTGGTTTGCCATTAGCAGGCTTAGTGCAAGAGAGGCAGTTAGAAATTACAAGTGATAAAGAAGACATGACAGGATGATCCTTCTGTGCAGGCAGCCTGCTGTGGTACTGCTCTGTTGTGAAGCTGCACCGTGGGTTGCATTCCACCACTACAGACTTGAGCAAATCTGAGCTAGGCTTGTGTGCACTAGATCCATAACGGAGTTCAATTTCAAGGGCTGGGGGAGGGAATTGTTTGCTTTTGTATTGCACAAAAACGTGTGAAAATCATGATTTTTATCCAACGGATAATTTAGGAAATGATTTCTGCTTTTACCTGTGGAATCTGAGAACCAAAACAACGCTCATGGATACAAATGTGAACTTTAACAATGGGTACAAGATTCTTCAGAGAAGTTTTGCATGCGCTTCTCTACAAGTCCATTTAGGTACTTGATAGCATTAGACTTCTTGCTTTCCATGGGTCTGCACTACAGTGCGTTGCCAAACGCTGTCTTTGAAGCTTGTTCTATGTATTCAAGGTAAATGTGTCCTTGCTAAGCAGGTGTCTAGGCTGCAGGGATGGATTTGATACCTGACAGGTCTCAGTTTTATGTTCTTCTATCTTCTGATTTGACTTTAAAATTTATTTATTAATAAAACATCCTGCACTTGTAGACTCTCTAGGTGATTTATCTTTTCTACGTTAGTGTTTTCTTCTCCTTCTGCTTAATGGCTAGCTGAAGGAAGAGCGCATTGAAGGAGATATTTGGCACAGAGGAGGAAGGTAATTAGGAAGGCATTTTTCAATCTGGACAGGCTCATCGGATTTATCACTATCTATTGTCACATTATAACACTAGGAAGCTTTGTCTTTACCAGGCACAGAACCCAGCTGTTCTGCAGCAGGGAAACATTCAGCGTAGCGTAACAGCTCTTAATGCAGTTGGATTCCATCAGTGGTAGAAATACAACATGAGAACTCGAAGTTTTCTGCCTCTCCCTCTCTTCCCCTCACCCTCCCAAAAATAAAATTACAAAGTTTTCAGAACTACTTTGAGTAGGAAGAAACACAGTTTCCACAGAGGAGAGAATATTACGTAATCCACTACCAATTCAATCATAAAAATTCAGAGTGGGGGGGATTGAGTTTTCCTACTCCTTGTTAGTAGGGCATGAGAATTCCCTAAATGGATCTTCAACAAAAGGTTGAGTGAATTTTGTGCTTTTAGTAGCTGGGGTCTTGATGTAGAACCTTTACTCAGTGAATTGTTCTGCATGAATGTTTTCTCTAGACTTATTAGCATGTTATTTCTTTCAGAAATTTGAACAAGATAAATATTCTCTTCAGAGAGAAATCGAACTTAAGAATAGGATGTTGGAAAGCCTGAGTTTTGAATGTGATGCCCTCAAGCAACAGCAAAATGTGCAACTGGATAAACAGAAAGAACAGCTTACCAGAGCTCATGGACAAGAAGTCAATGACCTTAAATACAAGGTTTGGTATCTAATATACATATAACATGTTGCTAATAGCACTTGAAGAAGTGTTATACTCAGGAGCATGTACTTGTAAGCAGACAAATGTAGCAGTTGTGTTGTGTAGCCATGCTTTAGGTTGCCCTGTAAGTTCAGTAGTTCACCTCTGAGCTGAGCTTATGCTTTATTTTCAGCTACAGTTACAAAAGAGTCAAAATTATCATGATGACTTTTATTCAGATCAAATCTTGAGTAAACACTTCAGGAAACTAAGGCTGAAGTTGTTGATTAAAGAGCAGAGAAAACGCATTCTTTAACTTGTCAAAGAATGTTGTCACAGAACCAAATTATTGACATTAAGATGAGGGCTCATTTAGTTGATGTTTAACAAACAAATCTGCATAGTTACACTGAATTGCATCTGATTTTAAGGCTTATTTTTAAGAGATGACCCTTAAGTTGCACTCATAAGGCATTTCTACAATTAGAACGTAAGCCAGAAGCATTGTGCTTTTGACTATTTAATTATAAGAGTTTACTTAGTTCTCAAATGTCTTTAAGTTGGAGAATCTGAAGGCAGAACTAGATGAAACTCGGCTCTCTGAGAAACAACTGAGGCACAAAGTGGACCATCAGAAGGAAATAATTGCTGCCAAAACAGAAGAGCTGCACATGATGTCTGAACGCGTGCATGAAACCATGTCTTCAGAAATGCTCAATCTTCAGATGGAGCTCACAGAACTAGAAAGTGTGAAGGTATGTGATTTAGCAGTTGATCAACAGGAATCTGAGCTACTTGAAGGTAAAAATTCTGATTCTTATTGAGTTTTAATCGCTGTGTTTATTTAGCCAGTTGGATTGGCCTTGTAGTAAGAAATTATCCACCAAAAAAGCACAATAGTCTTAAGTACATTTTAATACAATCCCTTCCACATAATATTTTTGCATTAATGGCAGTTATTAGCAACAAACCTGTTTGGCTCCTTGGCCTGCTTTTCTTGAAACTGTTTAATAAGCTTTTTATTTCATGCCTGATTTTTGTGTTTAGGCCAGTGTTGAAGAAAAGCTGAATGAACTGCAGTACAGCAAAGAGCAACTAGAACTCATCAACAGTAACTTACGTAATCAGCTGGAGCGTCTACAAGCAGAAAAGGAAGAGAGGGAAAAAGAAGTTGTTTCTTACTGTAATGCACTAGAGGTAATTTTACTCAACCGTGCTGAATAATCCCTGAGTTCAACAAGTAGCTGGTGCTAGATTTCCTCTGAAATAGGAAGAGGAGCCCTGAGAAGAATTCTGATTGGGAGGGAGGAAAGAGAGAGGATCTATTGGCTAAATTATGCTTAGTAGATCGATGTTACCTGTAAATAAGTTATTTCTATACTGATGTTCTCTTGTGGAAGGCTATCTGTGAAGATCCTTTGCACTGCAATATTCTGCCTCATAAGAGGAACTTGTAACAGGTCACATATTTCCATTTCTATTTCGCATTCCTGCTGAATGCCTTGTGAGATGCTGTACTAAGCAGTAGCAGGTATGTGACTCAGTATCACAGAAAGGCTGGTAGTTTGCATCATCATTCCAGCTGAAAAAGCTCTGAGTCTTTCTCTCAAGGGTTTAGTGAAGCTCTTGTCTTGAAGAGCAAGTGGAATATTAGGCCTTCTAGTGAAACAACTTCCACAGTCTTTATGGCTAGAACTACATACACAGCTAAATGCTGTAGTATGAGTATTTACTTGTGCTAAACGCCTAAGAAATTAACATATATAACAACTTGATTAAATTATGGATCTGATGTATTGCATATTGAAGTAATGCTCTCTTTGCTTAAATCTAGAAAGCTCGTGAAGCTAATCAAGAGCTTCAGGTTCAGCTGGATCATGTGGTGCAGCAATCTTTGGACCCTGCAAGTAAAGGCAATTCTCTCTTTGCTGAGGTACAGCTGTGCCATGGGTATCTGGGAATATTCAGAGGAGGGAAGATAAACTTCATCATAAGAATTGGAAAGAACTTGTTTTCAGTGCAACACCTGATTATTTTTAACTAATCTGTCTGGCACAAGTATCTGTTCTTCCAATAATCCTTCAGTATTGAATTGTCTGGGAATGCCTGTAGAAAAGAATTTTTATGCATCTTCTAAGGTTGGGCAGTGAAGTCATTAAAGTTGACTGGTTGTCAAGATGAAAGATGGCAGTCTGCAGCTCTTGGCTCTGAAGAGTTTTATTCAGCTGGTAATCTTTCCTTAATGCAGAAGATAAATGTTGAAAAACCTAAATACTGTTTTTTTTTAAAACTGCTGAACAATGGCTGGATGTTGGAGCGTTTGGCAGGGTTTGTGAACTAGCCTTTGAATAGGAGTTGAGCTGGTACTGAATGCCAGCCTTTTCTGACCATGCTCAGTGACTGGCTTGAGTTGATGCACTGTTCGTATTTATTTTAAGTTGCTTGCTTCGATTTAAATCAGAACAAATCTGTAGTGAAGCTGATGCTTTTAAAATGTTATTCCAATATCAAAAGCGCAGAGAAATCCCTTCTACTTTACCAATGGCCTTCAGCTGCTTGCAGCACTGTCTGCTCACTGTTTATCTCAAAAGTGTTGCTAATAGCACACTGCTGATGGGAAAGCAGGATTTTCAGAGCCAACATCAATTTCTAGGCACCTTCTCTTGAAACTCAGAATCCAAGTGACAACATGTTATCGTTTTCATAGTAATAATTGTGAAAAATGTTCTGTAGGTGGAGGACCGTAGGGCAGAAATGGAACGACAGCTGATCAGTGTGAAAATAAAATATCAGTCACTACAAAAACAACATGCATTCACTAGAGAACAATTGCAAAGAATGAAGGTATGATTATCACTGTAATGCTCCAGGGTTTCCTTGGGGTCTGATAAGTCAATGCTTTAGAATGTAGGCTAGGAGGTCTGATTCTCTCAAGTATGGTAGCATCAGTCTGGGTGGATGGGCGGGGAGGAGCAGGAGACATCATTGCTTCAACTCAAGTAGAGCTCATCAGCCTTCTTCCAGTGCCACTTCTTTATTCTAGAATGCCAAGTTGCACTGAAGAAGTTGTGCTTACTTTAGCAGTAGTTTACTGGGTAAAGTATAACAGTTTCTGTCACTCAAACTAGCTTTCAGTTTGTCTTGCCTGTTGCTTTGTTTTTTGTTTGTTAGTATGTCAATAAATTATTTGTTTTAATTGAGGCTATTAGGAGTAAACAAACTTCTCTTCCTCCTGTGATCACACCTTTTTCCTTCTGAGTTGCTTTCTTGGTTGTTTTCTTCCTACTTTTCCTATACTCAATGCAAGAGCAAGAGTTCTAAGTCTTCTCACAACTGTTTCAGTTAGCCCGTTTTCTTAGATTGGCAGCTTGTAAGTTAATAAATATTGTTGAGAAAGCTAGTTAGCAGAAGCTGTTTTGCAGCATCCCATTTACACTATCATGTGAAACTGCCATCTGTTTTCATGTTGGCTTTCTAATCTCACAGTACAGTAGTGGATTCTTTGAGTTTGATCATGCATCTTGTCTGAGAACAGTGCTGAAACAGAAGTGATGATAATGAGTAGCGCTGCACAGCTGTGTAGCTTAACCAAAGTTGAAAGTAAGTAAGATGTCTGAGTAAGATCAGTTTTAGAATCTCCCTTCCTCCTTGTGCAGTGTGGGAGACGGCCATTCAGCCAGTTATGAACATTGTATTCTGATAGGCTGTACCTGGCACTGAAGTAAATTGGTATCCCTGTTCTCTTAATGTTGGAATTCGTAATTTCAATGGCTCAGGCTGCCTTCTTAGATCCCTTTTAGTATCTCTTCTGTTTTGCATTGCATCGTGCTGCTGTGTTAAACTCAGTGTTGAATTAACTGCTTTCTCCTTGTTCAGCAGCTGGCTCCAATATTGTAGTTAGCTGTGTTATTTGAGCCTCTGTTATCAGAATATTTGAGTGTGGTATTGGCTGATAACGTGTGAGGATCTGACTTAGGACCATAATGTGAATGCTGCTCCCATAGAGGTTTCCTCATGTCTGGAGTGTTCCCATAGCTTGCAGTAGCCCTTCCAGTTTCTTAATTTTTCTAGTTGTTTTTTTATGTAGATGAACTGCTGTTGTCAGTCTTGACAGTTAGCAAATGAGCACTTAAGTGAAGGGGAAACATCAGGATTCTACATCCTTGGGAGAAAACGAGTGCGCTTATAGTGAGCCAGTGGGGATGAAAATGTTGTGTTCCCCTTTTCTCTTGCACAAGTTACAAGGAGGAAATTGAATTGGTTTTAATTCCAGTTTGAACACATAACTGTTAATATCCTTTATTTTCTATTTGAAAGGTAGAAGATGGCGTAGGGTAGATGTTCTTCTGCAGTTTTCTTTGTTAATCTGCAGTCTAACTTGCTTCTGTTGATCCTTTCCCTGGCACTTCTCCCACGTGTCTTTCAGTGGGGCTCTGTCCACGCTCACCTGTCTGGTGACAATGCCACAGTTCCCATTAACGCCATGTTCCATGTGTGCACGCCTGCGTGTCCTTTTCCTCTTTGAATGCCTGTTGTGCCACTTACTACTGACTGTGTTAAGGACCTTCTGTCGTGTTGCTGTGATACTGAGTGTCAGAAAAATCTGCTGTAAATATGAGAGTTGGATACGCTTCTCCTTTTGTAATGAAAAAGGATATTTCTGTGCTTGGAAGGGTTACATTTTGGGATAAGTAATACAGAATATAAATGTAAATTACCATCTATTCCTCAGAATTAGAAATGCAAAAAAAGAGTTATGTTCTATTTTTGTTTGCTTTTTCTTCACTTTTTGGAGTGCTGGAGTATTTTAAGTGAGAAATTCTTCATAGATATGTTTAGCTTTCAAGGGGCTGAGTTGTAGTGGGGTTCTTCTTACCATGGAGTTTAAGTTTGCTGTGAAATGTCTTGTGTACAACTTTGGCAGCATATTTATAGACTCCTTAGTCATTGAGGAGAAAGATAGAGCACCTTGGGACCATAATGAGTTCAGGAAGGCCTTATCTGTCCGGAAAACTGTTAGTATTTGCATTGTCTTAGGGTGGCACTGTTTAATTGTCAGAGGTGCATTTAAGCATCCAGTGCTGTTCTGTATTCACAGTTAGCACACGGGGCTTGGATACCCAAAGCTTTCAGGGAAAGAGGATAATATTTTCTGTCACTTAACCTAATGCTTGTTCTAAGGATTTATTACCTTTTTTTCCAGCTGCAAATGGCTACCCTGCTACAGATGAAAGGTTCTCAGGCAGAATTTGAGCAGCTGGAACGCTTGCAGTCAATGTTGGAGCAAAAGAATGGTGAAATAGAAGATCTTCTTGTGAAAGTGAGGCAACTAGAAAAATTCAAGGTATGTGGTCTGTGATTAAGTGAAGTCACACAATTGGGAGTAACATAGGAGAAAAACTGTGAAAAAATGTCATGTAAACTTGATAGGTATTTATTTCTTTCTGTACCATAAATAGTCAGGAAAGAAAAAGATTGTTTGAGATAGCTGTGGAGTACTTGTATCTGTTGACTGATGAGAGGTTCTGAGATCTGGTTCAGACCTTCAGATGTGTAGAGGAACAGTTTTAAATCTGAGTAGCGTTTTCAAATAGCAAAAAAGAGGTGAGCCTAATATAACACAGTGCTGATGTGTGTTATTGAACACTTGCTGCATCTGTAACATCTTCAGTAAAGTTTTCATCTAAAAATTGTCAGTGACTTTGGCTGTTGAGTAACAGGGTTTGTCCTTTACCTTTGTGCATCCAGCTGTTGAAGCATAGAAATAAAGACTTGAAGCAGATTTTTGGAGGGAAAACTAAACGTTCTGTGTTTTCAAGTAAAAGAGGAAGATATTATTTTGCTATTTGGAAACCTTTTGGATTAGGGAGCTTGTTGCTTAATTTTTTTTCTCTCCTTTCATTGTGAGAGAGAACTGCTAGTTTCAATGCAGTTTGGCCTTTGTAGCAAGTTCTTGTGTGTTTAAATGTTTCTACAACGAGGCTTCAATAGAGAGATGCACAGAGAGCTCGACCCAAGGACTTAAGCCAATGTACTTCTGAAAGTTCACTAGTTAACAGCTTAATGTTTTCATTTCATGAGACTTTATATGAGAATATGGAAGAATGTAGAGCTGGTAGCAGCTCAAAAGGAGGAGAGTCTGAAGACGGTTACTACGCTGACTTGCTGCAAATGAAACTCGACAACTCAAAGTAAGTCAAATTGAGGTAGAAACTTTAATAGCACTGGAAGATCCCTTTTTATCTTCCTACTGCTGGATTTTAAATGGGGATTTTATTTGGAGCAGCTGAATGTGTACTTGACTCTGTACCTGCTGTCTGAAAAAGAATGTCTGAATGACTGTATTTTCTTCCCATCCAGCAAGGAAACCGAAACCTTGAAAAATGAGCTATCTTTGCAGAGGATGAAGGCTTTGTATGAGAGCCAAAGGGTTCTGGAAGTTGAAAGAAAACTCTTTACAAATGAGAGGCATTTGCAAGCTTGTCAGAGTGAGAACATGAATTTGCGAGTTATGCTGGATGAGTTAAAAATGAAATATGAACCTGAAGGTAAAAAGTTATTTTCCATATATATATCTATATCTATCCATATATAGAGGGCTGGAACACCTCTACTTTGAGGGAAGGCTCTGGGGAGACCTCATTGTGGCCTTCTAATGTTTGAAGGGAGTCTATAAACAGAAGGGTGAACAGCTGTTTACAAGGGTGGACAGTGATAAGACGAGTCTTTAAAATGAGATGGGAGGTTTAGGTTAGATGGTAGGAGGAAGTTTCTCACCCAGAGGGTGGTGAAGAACTGGCACAGGTTGCCCAAGGAGGCTGTGGATGCCCCATCCCTGGAGGCATTCAAGGCCAGGCTGGATGTGGCTCTGGGCAGCCTGGTCTGGTGATTGATGACCCTGCACATAGCAGGAGGTTGGAACCAGATGATCATTGCGGGCCCTTTCAGCCCAGGCCATTCCATGATTTTATGATACATGTATAGCAGTAGTTGTAGGTATCTGATGAGAAGTATCAGCTTGCTCAATGCGAGCAGCTAATCTGAGCTTTGTAATGTACGTGAAACACTTGGAGGAAAAGCTGTTTGGGAGTGTAAGGTGTAAGTGTAAGTACTGTAGATGAAGTTTTAACAAGAGGCCCACCTGAAAAAACATCTGACACCTGCCTTTCTGCAGAAACAAAGGACTTGCAGTCTCTGGAGGAAGATGAGTGAGGAGTTGTTTGGACAAATTTGTTTTAGTACATTTGTCCAAACCCAAAAGCTTTAATTTTTATTGTATTTGTGGAAGCTTATGTCAGCAACCTCCAGAACAGTAGATGTGGTGTTTTGCAAGCCTACTTCTGTTGCTCTGCATTGTAATGTAATATTACTAAGAGACTGTGTTCTCTGGAAGGGATGCATGTTATCTCTTAAGAATTGTTGTGAGGTCTTAAGTCAGGTGAAATGTTCTTTACTGGCTTTAATGGTTTTTCTTTACTGGCCTTAATGGTTGGAATGTCATGTTAGACAAGTTAGCCACAAGTTATCTTTGTTTGTGTACACAAAGTACAGCTCTTCTATTTTTTTTTTCCCTTAGAGTTACTTAAACTCACTAAAATTAAAAAGAAAAGGGAGAAGATTCCAGTGGATGCTGCTTGTGAGTACTTAGACAGCAAAAATACTTCAGCAAATGAGGCACATCTTCCAAGTAAGGAGGAAGTTAAGATGACTTCAAATAACTTGGAGCAAATTGATTCTTCATCCAAAAAACAAGCGCTCGAAGCATCACCCATAAATGTAGCTCTTCAATCAATGGACAAAGCAGTGGAACCTGAAAGAGAAAGAAAGAGAGTTAAAACTAAAGATGACAGTCTTGACACCTGCATGTCATACAGCAGAAGCGGAAGTAATTTGTTGACTTCTAATGCCCCCAGGTCAGTGTCAGCTTCTGTGTGTGGTCAAGGCAATCAGCACAGACCTGCATCTCTTTTCTTTCGCTGCATGAACTATGCTATCCACTTGTTTATCTGTTTCCTCAGTGTTGCATGCAGTGCAATTCCTAAGCTCCGGCTGCCTACCTTCAACCTCTCAAAACCTTTTAGAAAGATTAAAATGGAATAAATCATAAAATTTATGAAAAGGACTCTTGAAACTGCAACTGTTCTTGAAATAATGTCCAGGTTAAAGGTGTGTACATACTGTTACAACTCAGTTGTTTTGCCTTTCTTTCAAAACTCAGACTGTTTTCTGTCATGTAACTGCATTGCATCTCAAATTTAAAAAAACCCTAGCAATAGGTATCGTGCTTCAGTTTCAGACCTCATTCTAGCCTTCCTCTATTTCAGACTGAGATAAAAGCCTAAAAAAAAAAAAGTAATTCTTAATCCAAATAAAGCTAACAGAGTTTGCTGTATGCAAGATTATATGTTAATTGTGCTATGAATTCATATTAGCAGGCCACTGCCTTTGCTAACCTGGATGCATGATAACTTGAAATGTAACTGTTAAAACTAAGATGGCGATTGTTTCGTAAATGGAGAAGGAGGTTACTTTTGTTAAAGTGTCTTAAGGCAGTAATTAGTGAACATCTGAATTCTGATAGAAGCAATGCTGTTTCTTTTTCCCCCTCAATTCCTCTTTTCTCCAATTTATAGACATCACTGTATTAAACCTAGTACTCTGGGGGTAATTTCTGGGATGCTTTAGATGATTTGAGCTTATGAAATGATAATATTTGGTAGCAGAAATAACACTCCTGTACTCCTCTTGTTTCCTACCCCCTTTCTCCTTAGCTTTTTTCAACTTTATGTTGTGACTGTGCATCTCTAATGTGAGCACATAAGAACTTTAAGTTATCATTCAGGGAGAAAGCAATAGAATGTCTGTCAGGAATATACTGATAAATAAAAGAAAAAAAAAGGTTCTTTCATGCAGCTTCCTTATGGTTTGTTTTCTTTGGCTTTTCATGTAACCCTGATATGAGGCTGGAGATAAAAGGATTACTTGAAAATCTAGAGTGTCTTGAAGCCTAAAGCATCCCAGTCTAGAATTCTGTTTAATCTGTCTCTCCCACACAGTCCAGCTTCCACACTGTTTCTTTGTCTCCCTCCTTTAATGTGTATTTTGGCTGTTGTTTACAAGATTCCTTACTGAGTTCTCCATAGCAGTAGTTTTTTTACTACTAGATTCCATGAACCTTCCAATGAGGCCGAGATGTGCCAAAATATTTACTCTGTTTTTAGATACTAAGTTTGTATTTAGTATACAGAAAGCTTTCTTGATAGGTGACTTGACAGGGACAAACTGGAGATCTTAACACTGTCAACAAGAAACTGTTTCCTAACATTCTTAAAAATAGCAATGTGACTTGAGTTGAGGTTTAAATGTGTTGATTGAGAGAAATGTGTCTGGATTCTCAGCATTCAGAGGGCATTTGTTCCAGAACAGCCTGAAACGAGTTTCAGTTTTGAAACAAAACTGAAGAAAGTTAAATGGTTGTTTAGGGTAGGACTAGGGTAGGGTGTCTTATGTTGAGGGGAAAATGTTGGTGTGAATAACACTTCAGGTCTTACTGACAAATAGCTTTCAGACCGGTGGAATCTAGATTGACAGCAGCTTCCACGATGGAGAATGGCCTGCTGCCTGAGCTCTGTAGTCTGATCCAAAGTGGCATTCAGATGTAGTTGGTTATTTTGACTCGGATCGATCACTCGTGGCTGCTGGATGTGGTTCAGAGGTTGAAAGGAACTGCGCAGTGCAGTCTTATGAAGCTGTCTGCATCAACTGTGAGTGAACGAGCGTTGATTTAGCTACAGCAGTGTGTGCAGGGACCCTTCCTGAGGAGGAAGGAGCAGAGAGGTCAGGCATGGGAGCAAAATGTTGAGAGGAGAGATTTATGGTGTTCTCTATGCGTAAAGGAACAATTGTGTGAACTGGGCAGGAAAATGGAACCTTATTTTTGAATATTTTTCTGAAGAAGGTGAAATGTCTGCAAGCAGTAAATTGTAGGAAAAGGGTTCTGTGGACTGAGGAGGTAAACCTCTTCTGAGCTGAAGGGGGGTTGAGGAAAGGAAATGTTTTATGGCACTGATGTTTTGGAAGTATAGAAAAAGCGAAAGAGGATGAAGCTGAAGTTCAACAAAGGTTTTAATCTTGCACACATAAGGAATAAAATATATAAAGGGAGAGGGGAAACATCTTTCCAACCCTCCGTAAATCCACCTCCACATCTGGTTTTGAAATGATAGCGGAGTGAGTAAAGGGTAAATCAAGGAGGAAGATTCTGGGCTGTTCGACATCATATCAGTACAATAGCAAATCCCCAACTAATCATCTCCATAAGGATTACCATTAAGGATTTCCTAAACCTTAATGTTTTTATACTATATTAAGTAGGAAATCTTGATAAAATCTGGGTATTTGAGAAGCTAGTTTCTTAAATAAGGAATCCCTAGACTGTTTCATGATGCATGTGGGTAAAACCCTACATGGGGTCGTTGCTGAATGGAAGGGGCCAAAAAGTGTGGGCAGATTTTTTTGTGCAATAATGTGGCAGTGTTACAGCTGCACGGAATGGCATCCCGCAATTGGAGCATTAACACTTGAACTCCCAGGGCACTACGTGGTGTTATGATGTGGAATACTGGAAACCAGAAAACACAAAACCTACTATGGTGGTTTGTGAAATAAAATGTTGTACTGTAACACTTAAACCTCAAGTATGAACTTCAGTTGTGAAACTTGCAGCTAAACTGCCATGGTATCAGATGGTCTTCAGAATATGACTGGAGCTTTCTTGAGGGAAGTGTGGGAGAAGAACGCTGAATTCTGTACTCAAGCACAAGAATTGGACTGTGTTAGAACTGAAAAATAAGAGATGTCTTGTGATGCTCCTGAGGAGCTGCTAGGCCAGATTCCCAGTGCATTTGGTGACTTGAGCAGTCAGTAGAACAGTCCAGGTGAAAAGTAAAGGTGAGCATATGCTGAGTAGTGTTACTTTTTATCAGCTCATTGCACGTGAATGAGCAGTTGTGTTTGTATCTTCAGGAAAGCTGAGAATAGAATAGTAACTCTGAACTGACTTCAGCTGTTCCCCAGGTTGCAGAGAGCATTAGATTTCTCTAAAACTTTTGGGCTAAAAATCTCAGTCTCATTCTATGTATCCTTGTATAACAGGGGTTTGGTTAAGGGAATGCCAAGTCTCCACTTTGGTAGGTTACATAATTTTGAATGGTTGTTCTTAAACTGCTTTTCATTTGCTTTTTATCTTAGCAAGTGTGTTTCAAGGTTGTTTTAAATGGCTTTCTAGTATTTACCGTAGGCACACAGAGTATCTGTGTGGAGGTAATGTCAAGGCATTAAAATGAGGATGTTGCTATTAAGAGTTCTATCCATGAAGATGATATCCCTTGAAGTCTGAGTTAATGCAATTCCTATAACTTCTTTTGTTTTTACCTGTAGTGGAGAAAAAAACTCTTGCCTGTAATTGCCTGTAACAGTGGATGGATTTCCATGATGAATACATAACGTCATGCCCTACTTGTTCTCTGACTGAAGTATCTTCCTAGGTGTGTCTTCAGTGTAGACTTAAATTGAGGTATTTAGTGGAGGACTTCAAAAGTATTAAATTTAGATTTTAAACGTATTTGAGGCTCCTGGTAACAGCAGAAGTGTTTCTATGATAGGTAGCAGTCATGGTTGAGTGTATCGAAAGAGTAGGGAGTTTTCTGGGATGCCAGGGGTATTCACTGGTGTTGTCTTCGTGTTCTTTATGTAGCTTGCGAAAGCACTTTTTCCAGTGTCACTGCCAGTCTGGGCAGTCATTGCTGCAGACACCGTATAGCTTGATGCTGCGTTGCATTGCAGTGAACCACGTGAGGGAACTGATCGAGCTGCTTGGTTTCTGTTTCCAAACCCTAAAAAGGGATTCTGACCCTTGAGAGCATGGCGTGTTGAGGCTGTAGTTGGAGGGTTTTGTTTTTGTTTTTCTGTTTTAAAAACAAATAACAATGCTGAGCTGGGAGTCCCTGAAGGGGTGGTGGTGTGAAATGATACACTTGGACGATAGCTGGGGGAAAAAAAACAAAGCTTTTTTCTTTTTTTAGTAGTAGTAATAATAATAATAAGAAGAAATATATTTTTTTTTTTTTTTTTTTTAACTCCATAAGCCTTAACAGCTGAATGTTGTTTGGTTAATTTTGGAATTTAACTGAATACATTTAAGTGTTGTTTCTCATGATCTGTACTGCCCATATCAATTGCAACTTGTATGTGCATGTAGCTGAGCATTTTAAGTATAAATAGCTACATTTTTCTCTCCTGTTCGAACAAGCAGCTGTTCAGTGTTATTGTGAGGCAGTATGATGCTTTCATTGTGAATTGGATTTCCAAACGTACTTCACTCCATCTGCATTTGTTAGATAATTCTGTTAAAATCCTGTTGTGCAACTCTGGAACATATTTACAGTTCTGTTTTTATGCGGCCTTTTGGTTTGCTTGAAGACTTGATTTGCACATTAGTTGGTTTGGGGGATTTTTTTCCTTTTATAGGAAATTCTGCTAGAAATTCTGACAGCTTGGGGAAGGTGGGAGGTGGGCTTTGGCAGAGATCCTTCCAGGTGGAAGAGAGGAGTGGCAAATGAAGAGCACCTACCATAGGAATGTGGTTGGTCAGAAAGTATCTGTCTCTGAATACAGGTGCTAGACTGTAGCACAGTCTGAAATGCAGATTAAACTCCAACCAAGAGATAATTACTCAGTGTGTTTTCTCCTTACTCCTCCTTGAACTGGAGGCTCTTGTGATCATGCTCTTACTTGGCCACTTGCAAGTTGCAGCACACCTGAAATGGAGTGCAGCTGGTGGAAAGCTGCTCATGGACAAAAGATGGGTTACCCATCAGAATTACAGGTGTGGGCTGCTTACAAAGTAAGTCCCAGAGCAAACATAGCTGGCTTAGGGGAGATGCACAACAACCCATAGTTGCTTTGTATTGAGACAGTGCTTATAGGAAATAATGTGCAGGGATGAGACGTTAGGTTTGTATTGACGTGTGATGTTTAATTTGTGACTTTCCATGAGTTGTTTTGCTTTTGAAACAATAATAGTCAATTGTTTGTAGGAGATTGAGAAAATATGACTATAAACTAGTTTTAATGACGTTTGTATGCCTGTTAACTAAAGCATCAAATACTTTTGAGGTCTAAATGCTTTTTAACTCTTAAACAGCATCGTGGCAATTGCCATTGTGTTCCCACCTACATTCGTAACAGAATTAAAGCAAATCACTGGACAAATGATGTAATGTTGAGCCTGAAGTTAAACTTTCCACTTCGTGTTTTCAGATCTTCAGGAACAAAGATAAAGAGGTAGTAATGCAAACCTTGGTTGGAAACCAGGGTGTTGTTTTTTGTGGATTCTTTTTTGTACTGTTAATACAAAAGCTCAACTTTATCACTATCTGATGTTGCTGGGACTTGTTTTCACTTGGAGATTTGTTTTCATGTGGTATGATTTCCTTTGCATACGTGGCACAAGTAGTGTGTTTTTCTTATAGGCTGATCCCAACCACTCACCACTTTCAGTAAGCTTTATTTGCCAGATACTGCAACAGATAAGAGGCAATAAAAAAAAAAAGGCAATATTGAAGTTACCAAATGAGAAGGAATTATATAAACGATATTTTCCCCTCTTGTTCTCTGCTTGCTCTGTATTTGCATGTGGATGCTCTCTATCCTGGTTGGCTTGCTCATTTTTGCTTTGATCTTTTATTTTAGCTCTGTTTTTTATTAAGTAAATATGTATTTAGAATGGTTGCTTTGCCTGTAGGTTAACAACTGAATCCAGATTTGAAGCTACAGAAACCCAAGATAAGAAGGAAAATGTAATCACGACCAAGAAGAAAACACAAAAGAAAAAATACACTACATTGCGTGTGTCTTCTAAGCCAACTCCTGAAACGCAGTGTGCTCAGCAATAAATCTGGAAGGAATCTGAATAATTTGGAGTCCTGCTTCAGCAGGAAATACTTCTTGCACATAAACATGCAGGTTCCTGATGCTGATCTGCCTTGTTAAACGAACAGTGTGGCTGCATTAATGATGTGCACATCTGATGACTTCACTTCCCAGAGGACCCTGCTGAGTGCCCAGCAGCGTCACCTGAAGTGCCGCCTGGTGCTGAGACTGAGCACTTGTTAGTTCTTGTTTGAGTCAGCACAGTTCTGAAAGACAAGCACTTGCTCTGGAAGTCACCTAATGTGATAAATGAGGGTTAACCCAAGCAATACCTGGTAGGCAGTGGTGACTAGAAGAAAGCAAAGCTGTCTGTAATTGCTCCTGAATTTCTTCCATTTCCTGGATTCAGATTTCTTAATGTTTTTTCCCCCAAGTTGCATCTGCACCTTCACTGTGAGGTTGGTCTGAGAGCTGAATGTGTGAAATTCTCTTCACATGCTTTGTGAGCTGGTATTATTTTGAAACTTTATTTTTACTGATAATTAAAATAAACTTTTGCTTTTTATTCCTTCCTAAGGTTGATCTGTTGCATTGGAGACAAAATACTTTTTTTCTGAAACTGCCATTTCGAGAGAGATTTGACGGCAAGCATTTTGTTTAAGAAATACAACTTAATAAAAGCTGGTAAATCATGATGCTTGTGCCGTGTCTTTGTTCTTAGGAAATGAACTGTTGCATTCAGTCTGATCTATGATGTCTGTGTAATCTGAGAATCTTGGTAGTCTTCTTCCAGCAGGTAAGCAGATACCCAGGGAAGAGTTCTTTCCTCTTGATGCTGACTGCACGTATGAACACTCTGTGGAAGAGACTGTGCTTCTCGTAGTACAAGCAGCAAACATTTCTTTCCACATGGTTAAAGGATTAATTTTGTTTACTGTTATCATATGCTGAGATGCTATTGACATAAAATAAGCAAAGCACTTGGTAGCTTCAGTTAGAGGAAACCTCAAGTAGGTCGTGCATGTGTGTGCCTTAAGTGGGTATATTGCACTATGGATCGATGCAGGGCAGTTACTTTTACATCGAACTGCTGAGCATGTGACAATTGAGTCTGTAAACTGAAGTAACTTGTTGGTGTCACAAGCAAAACGATGTTATTTCCACAAATGGCTCAAACTGCCTAGGGGCATCTAGTTACCCCCAAGAAGTGTTGCTTTACTTGCACTGCTGCTGTTTATTTTGATCATGTAGTTATCTCACATAATAAATGCATGCTTATCATTCTCTTGATATCATTCTCTTGAATTAGAACTAACAGGTGGGAGATATCTGGAATTCAGATTCCTGTTGCTATGACATACTTAGGGTACTTTCTTTTAAGTTCGTGAAAACTCTTTGTTTATTTTTGTTTTTCCTGTTTTGTTGTATCGGTTGCAGGATCCTTATCTCTAAGACAGGATATTCAAGGGATCAGAAAAGTATTTGTAGTGGGACCCTGGTTTGGAGATGAAATTTCTCTGTATCGTTTATTTTCCAAATATAGTAGTCATCTATTTGTGCTAGTTTAAGCGATGAGGGCTTTATAACGGAACACAGCCTGGTGTGAAATACCACCTTCCTCAGGACTTATGCCTGCCTCCAATACGTAGTGAGGAAGAGCAAAATTCTACAAGATAGTAGATGCCAGTCATGGTCTTTGGGCTAAGCAGAGCATGGGAAGGGGGATTTGCTGCAGTAGATTCAGAGCAGGAAGGGAGATGTGTTATAGTTCAAAATGCACAGTAAGATGAAATGGTTCAGCCTCAAGATCCAGTTTCACGAGAGACAGTTGAAAATGAATGTTCAAATGGAGAAGAGTAGTTTGGGACTCTGCAGCTGAAAGTGTCCTTAGTTGTAGATAATCACAGTTGCTCAGAATCTAGCTCATGTTAGTAAGTCTAACATGGAATGCCTGCCAGTGTGCTGTTTTAGCAAGTTATTTTTTTCTCATAGATTGCTAGCAAATCCTTCTACTATGCATCATGAAGTCTTTTTTATTCTCTCTAGAAATATATTTTGGGGTACCTTGTGTAACAGAGAAGAAATCTGGCAGCTGGGACTTCTTATGACTGCTGGTTAAAATTGAGAACTGGCCTGTTGTGTTATCAGAAATTTCCTGACAGATGCAGCACAGCACTTTTAAAACCGTTCATCTGAAGAACAGTTGTGACGCTGTTGTGATACGAAGAACTTCTTTCTTGTGTGGGTGATGGAGCTCTGGACCAGGCTGCCCACAGCTGTCTGGGCACCTGGCTGTGCTCCCTGGAGATCCCTGCTCCCTGGGGCAGCTCTGGAGATCCCTGCCAACAATCCAGGTCTGTGATTCTGTGGTATCCTGAGGGCAGGATGGTTGTATGGGTTTGTTGTACCATGCAAGGTAGAAAGAAAATATGAGTGTCTTCTGGTTTTCACATATTTTAAACTGCAAGTAAGGAACATGAATGAGTGTCGTGTATTTGACCCTTATCCTGTATGTTGTGTGTAGTCCAGTCAGTGAACAGCTGTACTTCATCTCTGCGTCCCAAAACGTTGTGTAGGTTACCTTGCATGGCAGCCTGTGTGAAAGTAGAGGCTGTAAGTATTCATATTAAGCTAGTTGTTGAAATTTTGTTGTAATGAGTCTTCAGAGTAGTGCTGCTTTGCTCAGAGAATCAAGAGAAACTCTGCAAATGTAACATTGCAAGATGGGACGGGTGGAGTTTGAAAATGTGGTTTTATCTTTGCCTCGTTTCTCACGTGAGAACGTGACTGTAACATAAAAACAAAACCTTTCCAGAGCGGGTTAAAAGGAAGTAGTTTTTAAGATGTCTTGTGGAGTCGGACGATTTCAAATATTTCTGATTTAGTTGAAGACGAGAGCTGCTGGCAGCATGAAGGTGTAGTTTGGGTGCCTGGGCTTTGCTTGCAGTACCCCTCCAGTGAGATGCGAGCTTAGGCATCGTGCAGGAGAGAAGTGTGGTGGTTTTGTTTCTTTTTGCTTGCTGATGTGTCACAGCCAGTGTCATGCAGCAGAAACACCCAGTATGGGTTTCCCCTCCCCCACGGCACTTGGTACAATATCTCAAGTTGAGAAAAGAGGAAGGAAGGAAGCTCAGAAGAGCAGCAAATCTCGCAGAACCCATACAGCTGCCTCGACCAGCTTCAGTCTCCTCCTCGTCATCAGTAACAGCAGCTGAGAAACAGATTTGCTTCCAGCTCCTTTTTTTGGTTGTCCATCTTGAAACCTGCATTGCACAAACCTCGTTTTCCTCCGTGTTGGGCGCCCTGCAGAGCGGCGCAGACTGATGCGTGATGGCAGCGTGGCACAAGACGGAGAAGAGCGGCGTGGGTATGTAACAGTGAGCTGCCTTCTGAGTTTTGTCCTCATAACTTCTGAGCAGGATGTGGGTAGGTGTTATCTCTGGTGTGAGAACACCCTCTGCTTCACCATGGTGGTTTAACCGAAATGGTCAATTTCATACCAAATTCTAATTTTCCAGAGAGAGCAACAAGAAGCATGTGAATGCCAGTTTGGAGAGGTACTGCTTCTGCCCCACCGTGCTCTCACTGCTCTAAAACATTGAACTGCCACAGTAATGCAGCTTTTCCTACCTCTGTTTTAGAAACACGTGGAACAATTGCTGCTCGTTCAACAAGGAGCAGCTTGAGGTGCAGTGGACAGATGTCAGGGAAAGGGAATCCTGCAGTTCTCCTCAGAGAACATTAAGTTGTCATTTGGGGTTAGCATTACTGAAAAATGTGCATGCGAGTTAGTAAGTGCTTTTTGGAAGGAGTGTCCTTTTCCAATAGCAGTTTTCCATAAAATTAATAATTTGCATAATGGACTGAATTGCAATTAAAAAAAACAAAACAAAAAAAAAGGCCTTAAAATTAGCAATCAGCACTGAAGCACTCAAAGGTAATTCTTTGAAGTTAACTGTAGGTTTCCAGTACGGAACATGGTTTAGTTTATGCTTCCATTAGTTTGTTACGTGCTAGTGTGTAGTTACTAGCCTGGGAGCCCCAAATTACTGTAAAATCTTTTCATTTAAATTGGGGTGTAATATTTGATATTCATTAAAAGCATGAGCAGAAAGGCTTCATGAACTAAAGTGAATCAAGGAATTAATAAGAGGAAAAGAATGTCTTCCTGTTCAACTACCATGTGCAGCAGTGGCAGAACTGTGAAACAGAAGGAGCTTGTTCTGGTGGCAGTACATGAAAATGAATGTGCATAAAGCTCTTCTGAGTTTTACAAATAATCTCATGTACTTCGTGTAATTCTGCACTTTTTCCTAAAAGTTACTGACCCGAAGGACTGCGTTTGTTGGATGTGTGTCTGCGTGCCTACTGGCGATGGAATATCTTGCATGTGGATGGAGTGCTGGATACTGAGTAGCTCTTCTTAAGGATAATATGGAACAAGCTTTGTTTCTGGGGGCTTTTTACAGGGCGTTATTGTGGGTTGGAATGATTTACGTAATTACAGAGAAGTCGAGCTTTTCTTGCACTGGTTTTAAACAGAACGGGAGACCATTATGTAACCTGGCAGTGTTCAGTGTGATTCAGTGATTTCTGTGTGCACGCTGCCCAGTGCAGCAGCCTGGCACGTCTCCTGAGGAGGTCTGCACTCTGACGGCTGTCATTTGTGCCAAGGTCACTGCTGGGCGTTGGTAGCAGGGGGAGTTTGCCAACTGATCACTTCACAGCCAGTGTGATTGCTGAGTGTATAAAAAGCTGATGTGACCTTGTAGTCTTTGTGATATCTGAGAGCTGCAGTGAAGAACACCTGATGTCTTTCACAAACTTTTTTATTTCATAAACTGGTAATCAAATGCAGAGATGTTTGTTTTCATAAAGGCAAACAATGCATGTTGACTGGATGCTTCTTTGCTTAAAATTCAGTATTCAGAATAAGTAGTTTTGTATAGCAATAGTCCAATCTATGTCTGGCTTCAGACTATTTAATTCGAAATAGCAAGATGAGCTAAAATCACTTAGTGTGTTTTAGTTGTGGTCCATAAGAATCAATGAAGAGAAGACACATAATGACAGTATTTCAACATTATTTCAACTATAGAGATGACATGGGGAATTGTAAAACTCAGAAGGGCTGGTTTTACTGCACCTTGCAGTGGAACTGTGCTCTTGCTGCCTTCTCAGAAGTCATCATCTCTAAGCATGGCACACCCTTCTTAGAGTACAGGCTGTGTGCAGCTCACAGGGCACTATCAGTGCAATTACAGTTATGTGCAGGTGCCATTTTCTGAAATGTGTGCTAGAAATATTGCTGCTACTCCTCCCACCCATCTCCCTGGTTACTGCTGTCTCCTCAAATCTGATTACTGAGGTTTAAAACAGAGCCAGGAAATTATGAGAATGATTTATTAGCATAAGAAGTCTTTAGCTGATGTGCTAAAGACAGTTTGTATTACTCATATTAGTCCCGTGAACATTGCAATCTGTTCTATCATAAGTCAGATGAGGGGCTTCAGAACTTGGGGAATTTTCAAGCACCAGCAATCCAGCACAGCTTGTCAGCTAATGGCCAGCACTAAGGGAAGACTGACTTGCTCTCATACAAGTGTCCAGGTCACTGAAAGTAGCTTAATGTCAGAAAGAGTGAAGGTGGGGACAAAGCAAACATGAATATTTCCTTTTATTTGCAAATACATTT